TCATTTATTGATTGGAGATGCACTAGTCGCTCAGCCAGACCCAGAACCACTTAGAATAAAATCACTACCTGAACAATGGGAACTGGTGCAGCGACTCAAGCACACATTCTAGACGCAATGGTCCAGAGAATATTTAACAAGCCTGCAACAACACTCAAAATGGAAACAAGTTCATAAAAATGTAAGAGAAGGCATGATGGTTATTGTCAAGGAAGACAATGTGCCTATGCTTCACTAGCCTATAGGACGATTAAAAAAAATTTATCCAGGTCAAGATGGATATGTGCGAGTTGCAGACGTAAAAACTGCAACAGGAGTCTTTAAAAGAGTAATTCATAAGCTTGCTCCACTATTCCGTCAAGAAGATCAAGGAGAAAAACGCAAGGAAATTAATGAAGAAGATGCTGAAGAAGAAACAAAGGAAGATCAAGAGACAAAAAGACGGAAAAGCCCATCCTTACCAATGCTATCGTTGCAATTATTAATCTTGCTGCTGCTATTACCATTAGCTACCGCCGGTCCGATAAACATAACCAGGTTTGGTTCGAGGCCAGGAATTTATTACGAGAAAATTGGATCTACTCGACTAGCAACTGCAGACTGGACAATCACAGCTTATTATGATTTAAAGCCGTATCTCGAAGATGTAAAGACATTTTACACGGGGACACTTAAAGTTGGTCAAATGTTTTCACATATACAACCAGTCCAAGCATGTGCTGCTGTATATAATCATTTTCAACACGTTTACGAAGAAATAAAAACTGAAAATGATTTGCTCCACAAGTCAAGAATACGTCGTTCTCCCTTGGACATAGTGGGAAATATTGCCAACAGCTTATTTGGCGTATTAGACACAGAGTATGCCAAGAGGATGTCTTCAACTATTCAAAAAGTGAAATCAAATGAAGATTACATTTTAGAATTAGTTAAGAATCAAACTTCAATAATTGATTTTACGATAAACATCATGAAACGAGATGAAGCTACCATCGATAAAAGTATTAAAATAATGACTCAGCAAATGGAGGATATAGCCAATGCTCGTCTAGATTCTCTCAAGGCCTTTCAATGGTATATTGCATTGACAAATCAATTATCTATATTGGCTGCAAAGAGTTCAGACAGAGATTTCACATGTTCTGACAAACGTTCATCACAATGAAATTAGCCCACTGCTCGTTTCTCCCAAGCAACTTCGACAACATTTAAATAAACTAAAAATGCACATGCCTTAAGGAAAAATGCTCTCATCAACGATGATATAATTCAATTATATAAGTTAATGAAGGCAGAAGCAAAGGTGGTAAAGGATTATGTAATCTTTAAATTAACACTGCCATTGTTATCAACACAGTTATTTGAAATATATAACTTGATTCCAATATCGGTAATCATCAACAATAAAATGATTTCCCTTGATATTGAATTTCCAATCATGGCTGTGAATCAACATCGAGATCAATTCATTACTATGTGATCAAGTGAATTTGATCTTTGTAATTCAATTAATGACGAAGAGTATATTTGCTCAGATGTTTAATAACAAATCATCGTCATTGTGCCAAACAAAAAGTTCGACGAAGTCATTTTCATGGCAAAGATTAAGAACAAAAAAGCAATGGATATTTTCAATTAAATCACCAATGGCGTTATCAGCAGTATGTGATGATCAATTACCAACAATTACAATTGATAATATCGGACTTTTATCATTAGATCCGAAGTGCACTCTAAGAAATCCTTTTCTGAGCGTAATTGGCCATCAGGTAACCTCTAACAACCTCTACTGGAGCATTGAAATTATTATATGCTCGATTTGGCAGTCTGAATGAATCTTAAACACCGCTTCTTAAAGTTTCACACCCAAACCACCACAAACTGCGTCTTCACAGAGAACGGCCGTGTTTTTGTTTTGCGCTCCGAATTTTAATTTTTCTTATTGAAACCACCGGGGTTTACTTAAATCTCTTCATCGTAGCTACACCTTTAAGTGTTTTCTAACAACTTTCCGTTCGCTTAGCGAGTGCATCGTTATTAACTTGTGTTTAGTAAACAAAAAGTTTTTATCATAATTTATTGTTTTCTATTGCCCCTCTTTTCAATCTTTCTCTTCGTCGTTGAGCGCTGTTGGAACGGCACGCACTCCAACGGTCAAATCTCTCAGAGGTGTTTTATACCGGAGTTAATCGGTTAATAATCCCGCTCTCTCTCTCTTTTCGTTTCTATATCGTTTCGTGGTGCCTAACATCAAAGTTATTCGGTGTTTCGCTCCCGCTCTGTCGCTCTGCTTGATCTCTCATTAAAAAGTTCTTGAGCGCTTTCGATTTTTTTGTCCGCTATAGTGCACAGTGGTCCGTGGTCAGCGAAAATGGCTTTCTGTTCATTAAAAAATTGCAAGAAAGTTAACTCGGCGGGACAGCAAAGTATTCCCTGCCATACATGTGATAAAATTTATCACGCAAAGTGTCTTGGCTATTCTGGCCTGGTTCGTGATGCCATCGATAAGAGGAGTGGCCTGCGCTACTACTGCGATGAATGCATTGTATACGAGAACCAGGCAATAACTATTAGGCGGCTCACAAAAAGCAGTGTTACGGAATTAATCCGGAACTGCCGTAAAAATACGGACCTGCTCGTGGCGCTTGAATCTCAGCTCACTAGCCGCATGCTAGCTGAGCCCGATTCCCCAAAGCGCAAAAAAGTCGCGGTCGGTGGCCATTCTACGGCAGGTGCTGTGCAACCTGCTGCCCGCGATTCGACTCCAGCTCAGCTGCCAATCTTAGGCGCCACGCAAATGGTACTAAGATCGGGGGCAAAAAGTGATTCGGTATCCGAAGTTGCTGGAATCGATGTGGCTCCGCTAGGTACTTCCGCTCTGTCCGATCAAAATAAAGTAGTGGCCCCAACACCTCATGTAGACTTAACGTCCGGATTACGGGCCGATACTGGTAGTACAGATACAAATTCTGTAGTACCAAAAAGGGTTGCATGTGTTGTACCAAAAACGGTTACTTGTGTTCGGGTACCCCAGCTAAAACATGTATTTGTTTCACGGCTCGCCCCAGACCTCTCATCATTTGATATTACGGCTTATATCCGTAACAAAATCCAAGTTGATGATTTGAAGGTCGAACAATTTAAATTTTCTTATGCTAGGAAAGTATCATCATTTAAGATTGGTATTCCTTGTGCTCTTTTTGCATCTGTGTGTTCCACCAGTTTCTGGCCCTAGGGCATATTTGTAAAAGAGTACGAAGCTAAGAGAAACAAGAAAGGAAAGTTAACTTCGGGCGGAGCCGAAGTTGATATACCCTTGCAGAATATTCTGTAAATTATATTCTTCAAAATTTGAATTGAACGTATCTACCTTTTTCAGCCACTTTTATAATGCAAGGGAGTGACAGTAACGGGCAGTAACGGTCATACAAATTACGACTGGGTTTACATGCTTTAGTTTACAACCCATTACTTTTTAGATAACAGAGACATTTTATTTAAAGAAATCCACGGGATTATCCCATTATAACTTGGTAAACAGGTCAAATTTGGCAAACGTTCAATTGGTTCAATGAACACGTGTAAGGGGCAGGAATTGTACAAAGATCCTGAACTTCGCAACCGGTAACGCAGGTATGAGTGGCTTTGTAACTGTACAATATCAGGTAATACCTTTTCTAGGACCAAAATTATTCATAACATTTAAATTGCACAACAGGTAGCACAGGTACATACAAAAACATGATTTTTTATTGCCTTTTTTAAAAGGGTCAAACTAGGGAACCTTTAAAGGATCTAGGGATAATTCTTTTTAATTTGGGATATTACCTAACTTGGCTATATATTTAGAAATCCTATATTCCGTAGATCAGTCAATGAAAAAATTTATCGAGTGACGACGTTACAAGTGCAAAAATATTTTTTACAAGTGATACAAATTATTTTTTACAAGTGATACAAATTATTTTTTACAAGTGATAAAAATTATTTTTTACAAGTGATACAAATTATTTTTTACAAGTGATAAAAATTAAATGTAATAGCGTGCTATTCGAAACACAAACTTTGGTAAGTACATTTTACTAATAACTTTCAAATTCTCATAAAATGGCATTCCATGCAGGTGATTTTATATATATATCATTTCATAATTTTTATTTTTTCATACAGCACTATAAAAAATGCCACGTGTATCACATTTGTCACAGGAGCAACGTCGCCAAGCTGCTTTAAGTCGCAGTAGAGCCCGCTATGAACGGAATGCGTCCCAAATAAGAGCTCGAAACTCTCAACATATCGCCAATGTTCGCGACAATAACCCTAACTTTCGGGAGGAAAGTCGTGCTCAGGATTCCACTGCCCGCGCGCAGCGGAGAAGAAGTGAAAGGGTTCGCAACCTTGAACGAATTCGGGACGCACAAGCGCATTCAAATCGCCGGGAGGACTCTGAGGAGCGAAGACAAGAGCAGTTGCGAAACACTGCTGAGCATGCGTCTCGGAGGACTAACCCAGAAATGCGTTCTGCGGAGCGTATTGAGGATGCTGCAAGACATTCGAATCGTCGACAGAACTCTGAGGAGCGAAGACAAGAGCAGTTGCGAAACACTGCTGAGCATGCGTCTCGGAGGACTAACCCAGAAATGCGTTCTGCGGAGCGTATTGAGGATGCTGCAAGACATTCGAATCGTCGACAGAACTCTGAGGAGCGAAGACAAGAGCAGTTGCGAAACACTGCTGAGCATGCGTCTCGGAGGACTAACCCAGAAATGCGTTCCGCGGATTCGGGACATGGATGCACATTCGATCCGTCGAGAGGACCCCGAGGAGCGAAGACGAGAGCAGTTGCGAAACACTGCTGAGCACTCTACTCGGAGGACTTTTCCGGAGTTTCGAATTCCTGAACGGATCCGGGACATGGATGCACACGCGATCCGTCGAGAGGACCCCGAGGAGCGACGACGAGAGCAGTTGCGAAACACTGCTGAGCACTCTAATCGGAGGACTATTCCGGAGTACCGAAATCCTGAACGGGTTCGGGACGCCGCAGCGCGTACTATTCGGCGAGAAGACACCGAGGAGCGGCGACAAGAGCAGGTGCAAAATACTGCTGACCATGCCACTCGGAGGAACAATCCCGAATTTCGAATTTCAGAGCGGATTCGGGACGCCGCAGCACGAGCTGCTCATCGCGAGGACCCAGAGGAACGTGCAAGGGAACAGGAAAGGAACACTGGAGAGCACCGACAGCGACGAAGGGATATGGAAGACAGGCAGCGAGAACGGGAAAGGGACGCCGATAACAGGAGAGCAACCAGGAGAAATCCCATCGCTAGATCACAGGAGCAACGGATAAACACATCACAACGCCGGGAAACACGACAACAGCGGAGGATTCGGGAAGAACAAATTCGGCAAATGGCAGAGGATCGATTATTAAACTTTAGGATGGACTCACAAAATCGACTGGATGCCTCCCAAAGGCAGTCGCAAAGAAACATGGACGCAAGAGCTCAACTTTCGGAGGATGAACTGGCACGGGAACGAGGACAACAGCGAAATAGGATTCGATCATCAGCGAGGGATCTGTACCACAGGAACATTAAGGAAGGCCCAACGGCTATTTGTATTTGCTGTGGAGGAACATGGTTCCGTTCGCAGGTAAGTGGATTATCAATCCTGGCTATCTCCTCTAAATTTCCTCTCCTAAACATTGGCAACGCCTTTTATTTGTCAAGAAAATTTCCCAGTCCGTCCGGCAAATATAACTTTTGCCACACTTGTCGTCGTGCCATTTCTCTTGGTAAGCTCCCATCACTCTGCCTTTCTAATGGGTTCGATTTCCCAGAAATACCTGAGTGCTTAAATGGACTCACCTGCCTCGAAGAACGCCTTATTTCACCGAGAATCCCTTTTATGAGGATTATTTCCCTCGGCTATGAAAGGCAATGTGGAATCAGAGGGGCAGTGGTGAATGTTCCAATTTCAGTTCCCGATATTGTGACTGCGCTTCCACGCTCTTTCGACTCTACCCATGTCATCCAAGTCCATTTAAAAAGGAGACTAGAGTACGCTCACAATTTCATGACTGAAACTATTCGACCCGCTCGGGTCCTTGAAGCTGTACGGTACTTAGTAAGTACCGAGCTCTACAGAAAGCACAACATTTCACTAAACGAATCATGGCTAACAGAACTTCAAGGAATTAATGATATTCCTTTTATTGCGGACGAATCTGATCGCGAAGCAGTAGAGCAACTTCTTCACCAGCAGCACCACTCCCAAAATGCTTCAGAGCTCGAAGAAAATTTAAATCCCGGAGGCCATGAAACATTATTGGAAAATAATGATACTGCAATTCAGCGCATTGCATTGGCACCGGGTGAAGGCCGTCGGCCAACAAGCTTAACGCTTGACGAAGACGCAGAGGAACTTTCCTTTCCAACTATTTCTTGCGGAGAAATATTTAAAGGAAATACAACCTATGCGAAAAAAGCCAGATCCCAAATCCGTTTTTACGACCGTCGTTGCGCTGTAGTTCCAAAAGTTTTATACATGTATAAATTTTACGAAATGCAGCGCATACAAAATTCAATTTCAATTGCTTTACGCAAAAAGTCAGGAGCGGTTACCGCTGGTAATCTGCGGGATGTATCATTTGTTGACCGTCTTGTGCAACATGATGATGGCTACCACATCCTGAAAGGCTTACGGTCTGCACCAGCTCATTGGGAGGCTGAGAAAAAAAAAGTTATAGCCATGATTCGACAATTTGGGCTGCCAACGTTTTTTATAACCCTTTCCGCTGCTGAAACTAAGTGGAATGAACTTTTAGTTATCCTGTCTCTCCTATTGGATAATAGGGCTATAAGCGAGGAAGAAGCGGCAGCTCTTTCCAGCTCCGAAAAGGCTCGGTTAATCCGATCCGATCCAGTGACGTGCTCTCGATACTTCGATTACAGGTTGCGACAATTAATGAAATTGTTCAAAACCGATATTTTTGGGGAATTCAATCTTTCTCATTTTTATTGGAGAATCGAGTTCCAGCACAGAGGATCTCCACATTCTCATGGCATGTACTGGCTTGCTGGTGCTCCTAAGCTCGAAGACAACGAAAATACCGAGCAAGTAATAAACTTTATTGATAGGTTTATTACTACAAATGGAGACGATACTGAACTACAAGAAGTAATTCAGTATCAACGCCACAAGCATAGTGCTTCTTGCCTAAGAGAGTTACGCGGACAGGAGTTCTGCAGATTCAATATGCCATATCCTCCTATGCCCGAAACGCTTATTTTGCATCCAATAGAAGAAAACGAAGTCAATATTGAAGATCATAAAACTTTGTTTAAAAAAATTAAGGAAGCTTTAAGGACCATTTCAAATGAAGACGCAGCTTTATTTAACAATTTTGATCATTTTCTGTCCCACCTTGAAACTAATTTTGAAGCCTACAAGCTAGCCTTACGTTCCAGCTTAAAAAAGCCACAAATTTTTCTTCGCAGACAATTCTCCGACCGACTGCTCAATGCTTATAATAGAGATATTCTAGGCTTGCACAGAGCTAATATGGATATTCAATTTATCCTAGATGCGTACGCCTGTTGTAGTTATATCATTAACTACATAAACAAATCAAACAGAGGCGTATCGCAGTTGCTCCGTGAAGCCATGGCAGAAATAAGCCATGGGAATATTTCTATTAAAAGGAAATTACAGCACCTAGGGAATAAGTTTATTAACGCAACAGAAATATCGGCCCAAGAAGCAGCTTACAATATTTTGGGTCTGCATATGTCGGAGGCAAGTGAAGGTACTATTTTTGTAAACACTTGCCATCCAGACAAACGAGTTCGATTGGCTCGCTCAAATGAAGAATTAGAGCGACTTCCAAACAACTCGGTGGATATTTTTGAGCGTAATATTCTTGACCGATATGTGCAAAGGCATGAGCAGTTGGAAGGAATTTGTTTAGCAGATTTCGCAGCTTGGTACAGATTTGTCAAGCGGATTGCACGATCTGCCGCTAATCATAGGGAAGACTATGATGAAGCAAATGATGTGGAGGTAGATGACGAAGATGAAGTTGCTGAGCAAAGTTATCCACTGATGGATGGGTCTGGTTGCGTTAAGAAACGTAGGCATCCCCTGATTCTAAGGTGGGTTCGCTTTAGCATAAACTCTTCACCTTGCGATTATTTCCGAGAGCATTTAATGCTCTTCTATCCTTGGCGAAATGAAGAAGCTGAACTTCTTTCCAACGACATTGAAAACACATTCCGAGTAAACCATGAAGCCATTAAGATAATGAAAAGGAACTATGATGTGTTTGATGATATGGAGTTAGAAAGAGTTCTGGAAGATTTGCAAGAGGATAGGGGAGATAATGCTCCTGATGCGGAAGAACCTGCCTCACAATTTTTAGACGAAGAGTTTAGAGCTTTGGCTGTACCAAATATAGAGCGGAACGTAAATATTCTTCAGGAGGACAATGCGATAAACAACCCTGAAGAAGACGGCGAACTTCAATTAATTAGACTCCCCCGTTAGTTTCCAATGATGACCTTTGCTCGCTAACTCGGTCCCTTAATTACAAACAAAGACTATATTATGCACATGTGATGCATAATGTTGTTAGTAAAAATATGTTTTACGAATATGTTGGTGGAGGGGCCGGTGTAGGAAAAAGCAGACTGATTTCTACCATCTATCAGTCTGTGACTTGGCGAGCAAATAAGCTTCCTGGTGCTACGGATTCAGCAAAGGTTTTATTATGTGCTCCGACTGGAAAAGCTGCTTTTGGAATTGGAGGACTGACTCTACATTCAGTGTTTTCTCTTCCAATTAATCAGGCTTCAGGTCCCTTAAGACCTTTAAGCAATGATAGTTTAAATACAATTCATTGCAAGTTGATTGATCTCCAACTGATTATAATTGATGAAATTTCTATGGTTGGTTCTAAAATGCTTTCATTTTTGGATCAACGGCTTCGTCAAATATTCCGAAGCCCTGACTTAAGTTTTGGTGGAAAATCAATTATAGTTTTTGGAGATCTAAAGCAGCTTTCCCCAGTTGGAGACAGTTGGATATTTTCGGAGAGGACAATTAATCCTTATAGCGTTTTAGCAGGAAATAGCTTATGGAACAACTTTAAGTATTTTGAGCTCACAGAAATAATGCGCCAAAGAGGCGACCATGCATTTGCTCAAGCCCTAAATCATTTATCTGAGGCTTGCATGACAATAGCAGATATAGAGCTCCTTAAACAAAGAGTGGTTTCACCCAGCGAAGTTCCTGATGATGCCATTCATTTATTTTCTTCTAACGAAGAAGTTAATAATTACAATTCCCTAAAACTAGCGCAAATTGGGACGGAAGAATTGGTTTCCACTGCTGTTGATACAGTGAAAACTGCGAACATATCTACACGAAACAGGGAAAACACGTTAAGATATGCTCAAAATATGAAAACCTCTGAAACACAGGGTTTGCCATATGTTCTTCATCTCAAAACAACTGCTAAATATATGGTGACCGTCAATATAGACACAAGTGACGGACTTGTAAATGGAGCAACTGGTCAGCTGATGCTAATTGACCATTGCTTAGTGAATGGCTTAAATTTAGTAACGCGACTTTGGATTAAATTTTTTGAACCCACGGTTGGCACTATCGCCAGATCAAAGGTTCGGAATAGTCCCGATCCCGAATGGACTCCAATAGTAAAAGCCTCTCGAGTTTTTCAATGTGGAAGATCGGAGCATGCTTCTGTTGACCGAAAACAATTTCCAATTGTTCCTGCTGAGGCTATTACCATCCACAAAAGCCAAGGAGCAACATATAGCAAAGTCGCCGTGCATCTTAAAAGAGGCATCAAGCGAGCTTCGTTGTATGTTGGATGCAGCAGAGCCACTAGCGCATCAGGACTTTTTCTTCTAGGCGACTTTGTTCCTCCAACAAGATTTGGAGCTCAAAATGTCCAAGACGAACTTAAAAAGTTAAGAGAGGAAAAGTTTTTGACTACGCATTATGAGTTTGTGGTTAACAGAAACGAAGACATCTCCCTTTATTACCATAACGTTGAGTCTCTTCGAAGCCATCGCGAAGATATTTTTAACGACCCTATTATTTGTTGTTCAAATTTTCTTTGTTTTGTCGAAACTTGGACTCTTCCCAGCGAAGACTTTTCTTCACAAGGTTTCGACATAATAAGAAGAATTGATAGCAATCGATTGAATGGTATTGGCAAAAATGGAATTATGATTTATGCCAAACAAAATATTGCCGAAAATGTAGTTTTCTTGTTTGAGACAAATAAGTCTTTGAGCTCAAGAACTATATACCAATCAATTGCCTTCAAATATCTTAATACATCCTTCATTGTTGTTTATAGGAATCCAACGTTTCCTATAGCACAATTTCGTAATGAAGTTATGTCGGACGTAGAAAGGATACGCAGCTTAGAAAATAATAGCAAATTGGTTATTTTAGGAGATTTTAATATTTGCAGATCCACAACCACTGATCGACTTGAGGAAGCTTTAAATCAATTTAATCTAATTCCAATCAATAATTATGCAACCACGAAACATTTGACGCAAATTGATTGGATTTTTGCTGAAAGTGAGCTGGGGAATGCTGTTGCTCTTACATACAAAACGAGCTATAGTCATCATGATGGAATTTTTTTAAGTATAGATATTAAGATTTCTTTATTAATTTATTTATCAATTTAATAACTTATTTATTTATTTGAATTGTATATATTTAAGTGAAATAGAAATAGATTATTTATTGTTTAAAGATTGTGATAAATTTTTTATTTATAAAGTGCAATATAGATTAAGCTTTATAATATTTCCCTCTCGTGGATTGAGACCTTGTCGTGGTGAGGGGGCTGAGTATGTGAGGATTCATAATAAATATCACGGAAACCAGCATCAATCCTTTGTTTTAACTAATTCATAAAAAACAAGAAAGGAAAGTTAACTTCGGGCGGAGCCGAAGTTGATATACCCTTGCAGAATATTCTGTAAATTATATTCTTCAAAATTTGAATTGAACGTATCTACCTTTTTCAGCCACTTTTATAATGCAAGGGAGTGACAGTAACGGGCAGTAACGGTCATACAAATTACGACTGGGTTTACATGCTTTAGTTTACAACCCATTACTTTTTAGATAACAGAGACATTTTATTTAAAGAAATCCACGGGATTATCCCATTATAACTTGGTAAACAGGTCAAATTTGGCAAACGTTCAATTGGTTCAATGAACACGTGTAAGGGGCAGGAATTGTACAAAGATCCTGAACTTCGCAACCGGTAACGCAGGTATGAGTGGCTTTGTAACTGTACAATATCAGGTAATACCTTTTCTAGGACCAAAATTATTCATAACATTTAAATTGCACAACAGGTAGCACAGGTACATACAAAAACATGATTTTTTATTGCCTTTTTTAAAAGGGTCAAACTAGGGAACCTTTAAAGGATCTAGGGATAATTCTTTTTAATTTGGGATATTACCTAACTTGGCTATATATTTAGAAATCCTATATTCCGTAGATCAGTCAATGAAAAAATTTATCGAGTGACGACGTTACAAGTGCAAAAATATTTTTTACAAGTGATACAAATTATTTTTTACAAGTGATACAAATTATTTTTTACAAGTGATAAAAATTATTTTTTACAAGTGATACAAATTATTTTTTACAAGTGATAAAAATTAAATGTAATAGCGTGCTATTCGAAACACAAACTTTGGTAAGTACATTTTACTAATAACTTTCAAATTCTCATAAAATGGCATTCCATGCAGGTGATTTTATATATATATCATTTCATAATTTTTATTTTTTCATACAGCACTATAAAAAATGCCACGTGTATCACATTTGTCACAGGAGCAACGTCGCCAAGCTGCTTTAAGTCGCAGTAGAGCCCGCTATGAACGGAATGCGTCCCAAATAAGAGCTCGAAACTCTCAACATATCGCCAATGTTCGCGACAATAACCCTAACTTTCGGGAGGAAAGTCGTGCTCAGGATTCCACTGCCCGCGCGCAGCGGAGAAGAAGTGAAAGGGTTCGCAACCTTGAACGAATTCGGGACGCACAAGCGCATTCAAATCGCCGGGAGGACTCTGAGGAGCGAAGACAAGAGCAGTTGCGAAACACTGCTGAGCATGCGTCTCGGAGGACTAACCCAGAAATGCGTTCTGCGGAGCGTATTGAGGATGCTGCAAGACATTCGAATCGTCGACAGAACTCTGAGGAGCGAAGACAAGAGCAGTTGCGAAACACTGCTGAGCATGCGTCTCGGAGGACTAACCCAGAAATGCGTTCCGCGGATTCGGGACATGGATGCACATTCGATCCGTCGAGAGGACCCCGAGGAGCGAAGACGAGAGCAGTTGCGAAACACTGCTGAGCACTCTACTCGGAGGACTTTTCCGGAGTTTCGAATTCCTGAACGGATCCGGGACATGGATGCACACGCGATCCGTCGAGAGGACCCCGAGGAGCGACGACGAGAGCAGTTGCGAAACACTGCTGAGCACTCTAATCGGAGGACTATTCCGGAGTACCGAAATCCTGAACGGGTTCGGGACGCCGCAGCGCGTACTATTCGGCGAGAAGACACCGAGGAGCGGCGACAAGAGCAGGTGCAAAATACTGCTGACCATGCCACTCGGAGGAACAATCCCGAATTTCGAATTTCAGAGCGGATTCGGGACGCCGCAGCACGAGCTGCTCATCGCGAGGACCCAGAGGAACGTGCAAGGGAACAGGAAAGGAACACTGGAGAGCACCGACAGCGACGAAGGGATATGGAAGACAGGCAGCGAGAACGGGAAAGGGACGCCGATAACAGGAGAGCAACCAGGAGAAATCCCATCGCTAGATCACAGGAGCAACGGATTCGGGAAGAACAAATTCGGCAAATGGCAGAGGATCGATTATTAAACTTTAGGATGGACTCACAAAATCGACTGGATGCCTCCCAAAGGCAGTCGCAAAGAAACATGGACGCAAGAGCTCAACTTTCGGAGGATGAACTGGCACGGGAACGAGGACAACAGCGAAATAGGATTCGATCATCAGCGAGGGATCTGTACCACAGGAACATTAAGGAAGGCCCAACGGCTATTTGTATTTGCTGTGGAGGAACATGGTTCCGTTCGCAGGTAAGTGGATTATCAATCCTGGCTATCTCCTCTAAATTTCCTCTCCTAAACGTTGGCAACGCCTTTTATTTGTCAAGAAAATTTCCCAGTCCGTCCGGCAAATATAACTTTTGCCACACTTGTCGTCGTGCCATTTCTCTTGGTAAGCTCCCATCACTCTGCCTTTCTAATGGGTTCGATTTCCCAGAAATACCTGAGTGCTTAAATGGACTCACCTGCCTCGAAGAACGCCTTATTTCACCGAGAATCCCTTTTATGAGGATTATTTCCCTCGGCTATGAAAGGCAATGTGGAATCAGAGGGGCAGTGGTGAATGTTCCAATTTCAGTTCCCGATATTGTGACTGCGCTTCCACGCTCTTTCGACTCTACCCATGTCATCCAAGTCCATTTAAAAAGGAGACTAGAGTACGCTCACAATTTCATGACTGAAACTATTCGACCCGCTCGGGTCCTTGAAGCTGTACGGTACTTAGTAAGTACCGAGCTCTACAGAAAGCACAACATTTCACTAAACGAATCATGGCTAACAGAACTTCAAGGAATTAATGATATTCCTTTTATTGCGGACGAATCTGATCGCGAAGCAGTAGAGCAACTTCTTCACCAGCAGCACCACTCCCAAAATGCTTCAGAGCTCGAAGAAAATTTAAATCCCGGAGGCCATGAAACATTATTGGAAAATAATGATACTGCAATTCAGCGCATTGCATTGGCACCGGGTGAAGGCCGTCGGCCAACAAGCTTAACGCTTGACGAAGACGCAGAGGAACTTTCCTTTCCAACTATTTCTTGCGGAGAAATATTTAAAGGAAATACAACCTATGCGAAAAAGCCAGATCCCAAATCCGTTTTTACGACCGTCGTTGCGCTGTAGTTCCAAAAGTTTTATACATGTATAAATTTTACGAAATGCAGCGCATACAAAATTCAATTTCAATTGCTTTACGCAAAAAGTCAGGAGCGGTTACCGCTGGTAATCTGCGGGATGTATCATTTGTTGACCGTCTTGTGCAACATGATGATGGCTACCACATCCTGAAAGGCTTACGGTCTGCACCAGCTCATTGGGAGGCTGAGAAAAAAAAGTTATAGCCATGATTCGACAATTTGGGCTGCCAACGTTTTTTATAACCCTTTCCGCTGCTGAAACTAAGTGGAATGAACTTTTAGTTATCCTGTCTCTCCTATTGGATAATAGGGCTATAAGCGAGGAAGAAGCGGCAGCTCTTTCCAGCTCCGAAAAGGCTCGGTTAATCCGATCCGATCCAGTGACGTGCTCTCGATACTTCGATTACAGGTTGCGACAATTAATGAAATTGTTCAAAACCGATATTTTTGGGGAATTCAATCTTTCTCATTTTTATTGGAGAATCGAGTTCCAGCACAGAGGATCTCCACATTCTCATGGCATGTACTGGCTTGCTGGTGCTCCTAAGCTCGAAGACAACGAAAATACCGAGCAAGTAATAAACTTTATTGATAGGTTTATTACTACAAATGGAGACGATACTGAACTACAAGAAGTAATTCAGTATCAACGCCACAAGCATAGTGCTTCTTGCCTAAGAGAGTTACGCGGACAGGAGTTCTGCCGATTCAATATGCCATATCCTCCTATGCCCGAAACGCTTATTTTGCATCCAATAGAAGAAAACGAAGTCAATATTGAAGATCATAAAACTTTGTTTAAAAAAAATTAAGGAAGCTTTAAGGACCATTTCAAATGAAGACGCAGCTTTATTTAACAATTTTGATCATTTTCTGTCCCACCTTGAAACTAATTTTGAAGCCTACAAGCTAGCCTTACGTTCCAGCTTAAAAAAGCCACAAATTTTTCTTCGCAGACAATTCTCCGACCGACTGCTCAATGCTTATAATAGAGATATTCTAGGCTTGCACAGAGCTAATATGGATATTCAATTTATCCTAGATGCGTACGCCTGTTGTAGTTATATCATTAACTACATAAACAAATCAAACAGAGGCGTATCGCAGTTGCTCCGTGAAGCCATGGCAGAAATAAGCCATGGGAATATTTCTATTAAAAGGAAATTACAGCACCTAGGGAATAAGTTTATTAACGCAACAGAAATATCGGCCCAAGAAGCAGCTTACAATATTTTGGGTCTGCATATGTCGGAGGCAAGTGAAGGTACTATTTTTGTAAACACTTGCCATCCAGACAAACGAGTTCGATTGGCTCGCTCAAATGAAGAATTAGAGCGACTTCCAAACAACTCGGTGGATATTTTTGAGCGTAATATTCTTGACCGATATGTGCAAAGGCATGAGCAGTTGGAAGGAATTTGTTTAGCAGATTTCGCAGCTTGGTACAGATTTGTCAAGCGGATTGCACGATCTGCCGCTAATCATAGGGAAGACTATGATGAAGCAAATGATGTGGAGGTAGATGACGAAGATGAAGTTGCTGAGCAAAGTTATCCACTGATGGATGGGTCTGGTTGCGTTAAGAAACGTAGGCATCCCCTGATTCTAAGGTGGGTTCGCTTTAGCATAAACTCTTCACCTTGCGATTATTTCCGAGAGCATTTAATGCTCTTCTATCCTTGGCGAAATGAAGAAGCTGAACTTCTTTCCAACGACATTGAAAACACATTCCGAGTAAACCATGAAGCCATTAAGATAATGAAAAGGAACTATGATGTGTTTGATGATATGGAGTTAGAAAGAGTTCTGGAAGATTTGCAAGAGGATAGGGGAGATAATGCTCCTGATGCGGAAGAACCTGCCTCACAATTTTTAGACGAAGAGTTTAGAGCTTTGGCTGTACCAAATATAGAGCGGAACGTAAATATTCTTCAGGAGGACAATGCGATAAACAACCCTGAAGAAGACGGCGAACTTCAATTAATTAGACTCCCCCGTTAGTTTCCAATGATGACCTTTGCTCGCTAACTCGGTCCCTTAATTACAAACAAAGACTATATTATGCACATGTGATGCATAATGTTGTTAGTAAAAATATGTTTTACGAATATGTTGGTGGAGGGGCCGGTGTAGGAAAAAGCAGACTGATTTCTACCATCTATCAGTCTGTGACTTGGCGAGCAAATAAGCTTCCTGGTGCTACGGATTCAGCAAAGGTTTTATTATGTGCTCCGACTGGAAAAGCTGCTTTTGGAATTGGAGGACTGACTCTACATTCAGTGTTTTCTCTTCCAATTAATCAGGCTTCAGGTCCCTTAAGACCTTTAAGCAATGATAGTTTAAATACAATTCATTGCAAGTTGATTGATCTCCAACTGATTATAATTGATGAAATTTCTATGGTTGGTTCTAAAATGCTTTCATTTTTGGATCAACGGCTTCGTCAAATATTCCGAAGCCCTGACTTAAGTTTTGGTGGAAAATCAATTATAGTTTTTGGAGATCTAAAGCAGCTTTCCCCAGTTGGAGACAGTTGGATATTTTCGGAGAGGACAATTAATCCTTATAGCGTTTTAGCAGGAAATAGCTTATGGAACAACTTTAAGTATTTTGAGCTCACAGAAATAATGCGCCAAAGAGGCGACCATGCATTTGCTCAAGCCCTAAATCATTTATCTGAGGCTTGCATGACAATAGCAGATATAGAGCTCCTTAAACAAAGAGTGGTTTCACCCAGCGAAGTTCCTGATGATGCCATTCATTTATTTTCTTCTAACGAAGAAGTTAATAATTACAATTCCCTAAAACTAGCGCAAATTGGGACGGAAGAATTGGTTTCCACTGCTGTTGATACAGTGAAAACTGCGAACATATCTACACGAAACAGGGAAAACACGTTAAGATATGCTCAAAATATGAAAACCTCTGAAACACAGGGTTTGCCATATGTTCTTCATCTCAAAATAACTGCTAAATATATGGTAACCGTCAATATAGACACAAGTGACGGACTTGTAAATGGAGCAACTGGTCAGCTGATGCTAATTGACCATTGCTTGGTGAATGGCTCAAATTTAGTAACGCAACTTAGGATTAAATTTTTGAACCCACGGTTGGCGCTATCGCCAGATCAAAAGTTCGGAACAGTCCCGATCCCGAATGGACTCCAATAGTAAAAGCCTCTCGAGTTTTTCAATGTGGAAGATCGGAGCATGCTTCTGTTGACCGAAAACAATTTCCAATTGTTCCTGCTGAGGCTATTACCATCCACAAAAGCCAAGGAGCAACATATAGCAAAGTCGCCGTGCATCTTAAAAGAGGCATCAAGCGAGCTTCGTTGTATGTTGGATGCAGCAGAGCCACTAGCGCATCAGGACTTTTTCTTCTAGGCGACTTTGTTCCTCCAACAAGATTTGGAGCTCAAAATGTCCAAGACGAACTTAAAAAGTTAAGAGAGGAAAAGTTTTTGACTACGCATTATGAGTTTGTGGTTAACAGAAACGAAGACATCTCCCTTTATTACCATAACGTTGAGTCTCTTCGAAGCCATCGCGAAGATATTTTTAACGACCCTATTATTTGTTGTTCAAATTTTCTTTGTTTTGTCGAAACTTGGACTCTTCCCAGCGAAGACTTTTCTTCACAAGGTTTCGACATAATAAGAAGAATTGATAGCAATCGATTGAATGGTATTGGCAAAAATGGAATTATGATTTATGCCAAACAAAATATTGCCGAAAATGTAGTTTTCTTGTTTGAGACAAATAAGTCTTTGAGCTCAAGAACTATATACCAATCAATTGCCTTCAAATATCTTAATACATCCTTCATTGTTGTTTATAGGAATCCAACGTTTCCTATAGCACAATTTCGTAATGAAGTTATGTCGGACGTAGAAAGGATACGCAGCTTAGAAAATAATAGCAAATTGGTTATTTTAGGAGATTTTAATATTTGCAGATCCACAACCACTGATCGACTTGAGGAAGCTTTAAATCAATTTAATCTAATTCCAATCAATAATTATGCAACCACGAAACATTTGACGCAAATTGATTGGATTTTTGCTGAAAGTGAGCTGGGGAATGCTGTTGCTCTTACATACAAAACGAGCTATAGTCATCATGATGGAATTTTTTTTAAGTATAGATATTAAGATTTCTTTATTAATTTATTTATCAATTTAATAACTTATTTATTTATTTGAATTGTATATATTTAAGTGAAATAGAAATAGATTATTTATTGTTTAAAGATTGTGATAAATTTTTTATTTATAAAGTGCAATATAGATTAAGCTTTATAATATTTCCCTCTCGTGGATTGAGACCTTGTCGTGGTGAGGGGGCTGAGTATGTGAGGATTCATAATAAATATCACGGAAACCAGCATCAATCCTTTGTTTTAACTAATTCATAAAAAAAAATAAATCGACTACAGATTCAAAATGGAAAATAATATTTAATAAATCTATTTCTCAAAAGAAAAATTCGAGGGAATTTTATTGATTGATTTTATTGATTTATTGATGATGATAGCTATGATAGCCACATTCTATGAGTAAGTAAAAATTTTATTATATGTACCAGTGCTCAATAACAATTCTAAAAGTTAAGATTGAAGAACACACCAACGTTATCTCATTTCTAAACGTTCAGGTATATAGCAGCTATACGATATAGCCAGTCCCATCTTTCTAACTTAAGAAACACTAAAGCTATGGCATATCCGATCAATCAGTTATATGCCAGCTATCGGATATAGTCGCATCGGTTGGCCGAAAATAAAACCCATAGAAAATCCCAATTTCCTAACTTTACTAACACCAAAGTTAGGGAATTTGCGATCATTCAGTTATATGGCAGCTATAGGATATAGTCGGCCGATCCTTATGAAATTTGGTAGGTCGGATTAATTGGCCAAAAAAAAACCCATAGAAAATCCCAACTTCCTAACTTTACTAACACCAAAGTTATGGAATTTGCGATCATTCAGTTATATGGCAGCTATAGGATATAGTCGGCCGATCCTTATGAAATTTGGTAGGTCAGATTGATTGGCCAAAAATAAAACCCATAGAAAATCCCAATTTCCTAACTTTACTAACACCAAAGTTAGGGAATTTGCGATCATTCAGTTATATGGCAGCTATAGGATATAGTCGGCCGATCCTTATGAAATTTGGTAGGTCGGATTAATTGGCCAAAAAAAACCCATAGAAAATCCCAACTTCCTAACTTTACTAACACCAAAGTTATGGAATTTGCGATCATTCAGTTATATGGCAGCTATAGGATATAGTCGGCCGATCCTTATGAAATTTGGTAGGTCAGATTGATTGGCCAAAAATAAAACCCATAGAAAATCCCAACTTCCTAACTTTACTAACACCAAAGTAATGGAATTTGCGATCATTCAGTTATATGGCAGCTATAGGATATAGTCGGCCGATCCTTATGAAATTTGGTAGGTCAGATTGATTGGCCAAAAATAAAACCCATAGAAAATTCCAACTTCCTAACTTAACAAACACCAAAGTTATGGCATTTCCGATCAATCAGTTATATGGCAGCTATAGGATATAGTTGGCCGATCCAGGCCGTTCCGACTTATATACTGCGTGCAAAGGAAAGAAGGGTGTGTACAAAGTTTCAATTCCATATCTTTAAAACTGAGAGACTAGTTTGCGTAGAAACAGACAGACGGACAGACGGACAGACGGACAGACAGACGGACAGACGGACAGACGGACAGACGGACATGCTTATATCAACTCAGGAGGTGATCCTGATCAAGAATATATATACTTTATAGGGTCGGAGATGTCTCCTTCACTCCGTTGCACACTTTTGACCAAAATTATAATACCCTCTGCAAGGGTATAAAAATAAATCGACTACAGATTCAAAATGGAAAATAATATTTAATAAATCTATTTCTCAAAAGAAAAATTCGAGGGAATTTTATTGATTGATTTTATTGATTTATTGATGATGATAGCTATGATAGCCACATTCTATGAGTAAGTAAAAATTTTATTATATGTACCAGTGCTCAATAACAATTCTAAAAGTTAAGATTGAAGAACACACCAACGTTATCTCATTTCTAAACGTTCAGGTATATAGCAGCTATACGATATAGCCAGTCCCATCTTTCTAACTTAAGAAACACTAAAGCTATGGCATATCCGATCAATCAGTTATATGCCAGCTATCGGATATAGTCGCATCGGTTGGCCGAAAATAAAACCCATAGAAAATCCCAATTTCCTAACTTTACTAACACCAAAGTTAGGGAATTTGCGATCATTCAGTTATATGGCAGCTATAGGATATAGTCGGCCGATCCTTATGAAATTTGGTAGGTCGGATTAATTGGCCAAAAAAAAAACCCATAGAAAATCCCAACTTCCTAACTTTACTAACACCAAAGTTATGGAATTTGCGATCATTCAGTTATATGGCAGCTATAGGATATAGTCGGCCGATCCTTATGAAATTTGGTAGGTCAGATTGATTGGCCAAAAATAAAACCCATAGAAAATCCCAACTTCCTAACTTTACTAACACCAAAGTAATGGAATTTGCGATCATTCAGTTATATGGCAGCTATAGGATATAGTCGGCCGATCCTTATGAAATTTGGTAGGTCAGATTGATTGGCCAAAAATAAAACCCATAGAAAATCCCAACTTCCTAACTTAACAAACACCAAAGTTATGGCATTTCCGATCAATCAGTTATATGGCAGCTATAGGATATAGTTGGCCGATCCAGGCCGTTCCGACTTATATACTGCGTGCAAAGGAAAGAAGGGTGTGTACAAAGTTTCAATTCCATATCTTTAAAACTGAGAGACTAGTTTGCGTAGAAACAGACAGACGGACAGACGGACAGACAGACGGACAGACGGACAGA